CTTTCTTTCTTTCTTTCTTTCTTTCTTTCTTTCTTTCTTTCTTTCTTGGTTTCTCTCTTTCTCTCTCTCTCTCTCTCTCTCTCTCTCACTTAAATATTAGACAGTAAAGCTGGAAAGTGATTGAAAAAGACCCAAGTGTCAGCCTCTGACTTATATTAGCACGCACAGACGTGCACCTGCACACATGTACACACACATGGCAAAGTAACAACTCACCGTAAAAGTATCTCTGCCCCATGTGAAATCTAGGGATTTAGGAGTGTCATCAAACCACTAACTTGTTGCTCCTGTTTTGATACTAGCCTTTGCTAGCTCTCATGATGGATAAACATTTTTTTTCTCTGACTTACAAAGCTCTTGTAGGCTGTTTGTAGAATGAGATAGTTATTCTGGAATTGAAGATGCCTGTGTTTTCAGTGAAATAACCAGACAATGAAAAAGTTCTGTAAACTGTCTCTCTATTCATAGTAGTTAAAAATGTTTTAGAGATTATAGGACCCTAGACTGATAAGGAAATAGAATTTGAAGTTCTCAGGAACAGTTACTGTGTCTTGACACTGCTGTTAGGTTTATAAGGCGAACAGTGTGTGAATATAATTCCTCTTTGTTCTCTAGTTTCTGTTGTGTGTTTTGAGACGGAGTCTCACTATATTCTCTGGCTGGCCTGGAACTCATAGACATTTGTCTACCGCTACCTGCCAAGTACTGGAACTACAGATGTGCGGTAGCACACCTGCTGCTCTCGTTTTCAAATTGATATTTTAAGGACGTGATTATTTGAAGAGAATGCTAGAAAGTTTGATGTATCAATATCAGACACTAAACAGTAAGGTAGGGTTTGGGGAATGAGTGTGTGTGTGTGTGTGTGTGAGAGAGAGAGAGAGAGAAATTTATAAGACTTTGTTTAGCTGCCAGGAGTTTTATTGGTGAAACAACCAGTTTGTAGGCAAGAATCATCAGCAGACACAAAGGTATCAGCCTGAAGCAATCAGATAAGCAATTGACAGTCATCTCAATCTCTACTGAAACGGGATCACATCCAGCATGGCGCCTGACACCATTTCTTTCTTTCTTTCTCCTCTGCTCCTTGCGATGTGGCATTCATCTCTCCTTGTGCCTCGTTCTGAAGAGATAGCAGTGTAGCAACAACTGCCACTGACATCCTGTTCTCTGACCGGTATTGGCACCTGCAAAGAGAAACAAGCAGTGACAGGCAGCAGCAGCGTCAGTACTAACCTCCATGGTGAACTCTTTACAGGCTGAGAGCAAGCTCACAGCTCTTTCTCACTCCTCACACGGGAACATGCAGCCAGTTGAAACGGACAAGACTGGATTGCCTACAAGCCTTTTGAACAGTGGAGCATGCAGGGCGGTGGTTTTAGGTGAATTGACCCCACATGCTTTGGTATCTCTTCTGGCCTTTTTAGAATACCTTCTATCATCCAAGTTATCAAATCCTTAGTATGAGCACAGAAATGAATTCTGTGACATTTCTTGTCATTTTAGTTTTGAATGAAAATAATGATCAGTATGACATTAGACAGCTTAATCTTTAGTCCTGTTTGTTCACCTCTGCATTTGTGGCCATAAACAAAAGAAGTCTTGAAAATTCTGTCAGTTAAGGCCAACCACAAGCACACTCTGTTTCTGTAGCCGTGATGTGGGAGGAGGAGTTTTTAGGGGAATGTTGGTGCAAGTGTGCTTGACAAAGTCACATTTAAGCTTAGAAAGAATGTCAGAAGGCATCTAGCTTCTTGCTGTGTATGTGCAAGACAGGTACCGAGAAGCATGCTGTAATTCTTCAGTTGACATTTTGTCCTTACTGCTGCTTCCTACTTAAAAATGAGAAGGTTGTG